AAGTTTACGGCATTTATTTCCCGCTCTTGGAAATTGTCGGAAAGGGGGAAAACAACGAAACCCCTCCAAACTAACTAGAAGGGAGGGGGGGGAACGAAAAAAAAAAAAGTACCTCACGATTCACGGATTGCGGTCTCCTTCGCAAATGAGGCACTGCCTTATTGAACTCGATACTGGTGGTAAGCTGTTCGGAGCCTCATGGATAACTCATGAAAGGCAGGCAGCGAAACGCTCCCTTTACTATCAGAGAGCACCACACTTTGCTGAAGCTCAGGGGGGACAACGACACCTCTTTCCCAGCACTCAACCGGATCGGTCGCAAAGGGAAGCACATTGTGCTTGTATGCATCCATAAGAACCTTGCCAACGTGAACGGGACGCCTTTGCAGCCTTTCCCTCTTTTGCTTCCGCCAGAAATCCAGGAATTGTTCACGATAAAGTTGCTTCTCAAGGAGAACGCCCTGCTTGGCCACTTGAGCCATCCTCACTTCGGTCACCTTGAGAGTGTGCAACTCCGCGGCAAATGCCATGGATCGGTGTGTCCAGCGCTTCATGATGGTGCTCACTGCAGCTTGCTCCTCCTTTTCAAGGCTGCACCGCCGCATAACCTCTTCATTCAGCAGAGAGCCGACAACTTCTTCTTCTCCGCCAAAAATATGCAAGGCGCTCGTTTTGTGGTCCACCTCCGCCAATCGCTGCCAATACGCTCTCGTGAGGGCAACGACCCTCTCGTAGGAGCCCTCAGGCAAATCCTGCCACACGTTCGTACTGTCGCAATCCGAAGAAGAGCGGGGACTCTCCATTTTGCCCATTCACCTTCAAAGAAAAGAAGAAAAAAAACCGCCCAACGCATAGTAACAAGAGCAACCAAGTGAATCACGCTGCCTCTCCTTGAAAGACCCCAAGTACCATGGTCTCCCATCTCCAGCCAAATCAATAAACAAATTAATTAGACGAGTCCTAAAACGGGAAGCAGCTGATGCGCACAAAGAAAAACAAAAAAAAGAAGGAAAACGGTGAAATTCCTTCTTCAGCTGCCCACAGAGTCAGGATCGTCTTTTTTTTATTTTAAAGTTACTCTCCTTACGTGTGCTTGTGCATGTGTGCGTGTGTGGGATTGACTCCAATGCGGGAGGCAACCTCATTCGAAACCCAGGCCGAGTGGTTTGAAGCACACATGTATGCAATGACACAGCATCTACACTACACCACCTGCGTCCACTCTAGAGATCTCCCTCTTGACCATTTTCATCCTCCTCCTTATTCCTGACTTCTTCTGAGACCGGCGTATCCTTTAAAGCCGTGCTATGTTCACGAACAAATTCGTACATGTCATTGAAAGTGCGGTCCCCCTCGTAGCTAATTGGCGGTTTTCCATGGGGAACGAAGTAGATGGTCGGGAACCCGGAAACCGCAAAAACCGATTGGTCCACGTGGTTAGCGGTCGCATCCATGGCGGCAATAATAACGTCCGAGGACTCAAATTCCTTCGCCAACTTCGCGTACGTTGGAGCCAAGTTCTTGCAGTGACCACACCATGGAGCGAAGAACTCGATCAGCATGTCTTTTCCAGAAGAGAGGTGTTTATCCAATGTCTTTGCCACAACCGTGGTCAGCCCCTCAACTGTTTCAACTTCAGGTACGGGTTGGGACTTGAGCTCCTTGGCCACTTTGCCTTCGGAGACCTCCACAATGAATTTTTCAATGCCCTCAGCAGTCACCGGTTCAGTGGACGGATGAACAAAGTGATCCTCACCTCGAGCAATCACAAATGCGGGGTATTTTGCGTCCTCTGGAAGGTCAAGGCTTGGTGCCACCCCGTACTGCTCCGCATCTACCCAAAGGAGCACCACATGACGGCGCATTTTCCTTCCCAACTCCACAAGTTTGGGTTTCAGCTCCTGCGACGCCTCCCCGCTCGGCTTCAATAGGACCCAACCCACCGGTGTTGATAGTCCAGCGTAATTCATGTACGTCCTCGGGCCGATCTCCCCCGCGAAGGGGAGAACCGAAACCTCCAAGAACGAATTCAGCTCCTCAGCCTCCATCGCCCCTTCATAAACCTCTTTTTCCCCACCTTTTCTGAATACGATGATAGATTCCGGCTTCTCCTCGGGAAGGATCTCTGGATCCGTGATAACGGCAAACTTCAACTTCATCCTTAGCCTCTGTGCAGAATTTGCCAGCGTCGTTGAAAGGGCCGATTCTGTGCCCGAAGCCACCCCCACACAGACAGCATCATGCTCTTCCTTTAACTTGGCCAACTCTTCGGCACTCGATGGATAAACGACTGCAGGCCCAACGTTTGCCTTCACGTAGTTGACGAGATCTGTGCTTTGGCGGCCCCCTTTGTAGTGTTCCACCTCTTTACCCTCACGGAAGAGGATAATTGTGGGGAACCCCTGAATGGAGTATTTCTTGGCCAACTCCTTTTCCTTAGTGCAATCGACATCCACCATGATCGCCTCGCTGGGAATCTCCTTGGCTGCCTTCTCCCACTCCGGGGCAAGCTTCTGACAGTGCCCACACCAAGGGGCGTAGAACTTCACAAGCGCCACTTCACCCCTTGCAAGGACGCTGTCAAAGTCTTTATCGGTGGCTGCCACAACTTCACTTCCCTCCACCCGAAGCGAGCAAAGGAGAAGGGTGACAAAGACAAGAAAACGTATCATGCCTGCGTGTATCTTTTTTATTAACAATTTTTTTCCCTCTTGCTCGTAAAAACAAACGGAAAGGAAACAAGAAAGAAAGCAGAGGAAGAATAAATAAGTTGCAGGTTAAACTACCGTGCACCCTCCGCAACCGATGCGGCGTCATGCAGAATGCAGAGTGCATTCCATGCAGTAGTGAGGGCGCCACATCCCTCTTTTCTCCGTGGCGTAAGCCGCCCCCTCTTTCCCCCTTCCTCCAAAAAACAACAACAACAGCAACAACAAAAGCGACAAACAACAATAACAAGAAGAACGCGGCCGGGATAAGCAAGCAGAAAAACACGTCACACCAATGGATAATTGCAGTGTCACGCCTCAAATGTCAAAGCCAACGAGTCGCATAAAGATTTCAGCTTCCTGTTTTCACCTTCAAGTCTGTGACTTTCGCGCTGCTGGGCTTGAATCTCACGTTTGAGATCCCTCAGCTTCGTCGCATGTTTTTCCATCTCCATATTTACATTTGTTCTCAATTCATCTATCATTCGCTGTAGCTTCGTTCGCTTCGCCTCAAACAGTCTTAGTTGTTCACGAAGATGTTCCTTTTCCTCCTCGGCTGCGGCAGACCCGCGGAGGGCGTCACTGGCAGAGATGGAGGCCTCCCGTTTGGACTCCCCGGCCTGAAGGGAGTCTGAAGAATATTTGGTGTCACGAAGAGCATCCCAAAGCCGCTGATTCGCATTCTTGACGTTCTCCACTTCTTCGCGAAGTGCTTTACGTTCTGCTTGTATCCTTTCAACTACTCCAAGGGCGGCCTTTTCCTGACCTTCAACAAGACTCGACAGGTTTCGCTGCGAATCCAAAATAAGTTCATTGGCTCTCTGCTTCTTCAGCTCAATGACATCTGCCAGATCCCGCTTCCTCCTCACGCAATACGCAATGGCTCGCTCGCGCTCGCGAGAAAGCTCGCGTATAGCCTTCAGCACCTCCCGCGCTCGTGCATCCTCCTCCGGCGGAACGCGTTGGTGGTTGCGACTTAACGAGGTCTGTAGCTCATCCAGCATGGAAATAAGACTCACCAAGGTGAGTCGCCGTCGGGCATCCGCACCCTCAGCAGAGCCACTCAGCGACTCCACCTGCGCCACAAGCGATTGGTCCTGGCCCTGCATTTCCTTCAGTCCAGCATCGGCTTCGGAGAGTCCCTGTACATATTCCTCGCGCGGTAGACGGGACTCTGAGGTTGTCTGAAGCCTCCTTCGCTCTGTGCGCGCTATACGATTCTCAGTCAGTACATCTTCAAGTTGCACCTGAGCCTCCTGTAGCTCCTCCTCCCCTTCTTCAAGAGCCCGCTCGGCATCGGCAACCGACAGCGAGATCGAGGCCATTCTTTGACTTCGGTCCTGCAGGAGCTTCTCTTGAGCCGAAAGTGCGTCCTCGAGTTCCCGCAGCTGTTGTTTCAACTCCCTCACAGCCTCTTCCTGCTTTTCGTCCATCGCCCGACGCAATCTCGGCAAACTACGACTTTGTTACTCGAGCAAGAACAAAAACGAGAAAAAAAACTCGGGGTGGTGCTATGAGACGCGGGGAAGAAAAAGTAGCAGACAACATCACGGCACCAGTGCGAAACACGTTCAGCGGCAGCGCAGTAAGCCAGGAAGGCGCATCTCAAAAGCAAGCAAAAAGAGTCTCATGACTTCGGCCGGAGAGCCAACGCATAATGGAACCCCATCAGACACCTGTGCTCTTCCACCAGCGAGTAACGAGCATCTTCTCTGATCCATTTGTTATAGTCGTGTGTGAGGTGCATGGAACTCCTCGTCAGAGAGTTGAACCAGCGCACTGCAGACAGGAGCGTGGGCCAAGAGGGACTCCCAAAATCCATCAGTAGTACATAGCCGTCTTTGCTGACATACGTTGAGGCGGCATTCAACATCTGACGAGCATCCGTTTCGGTTCTATTTAATAGCTCATTTCGGATCACCACAGTGTCGTACCTGTGGAAATCGGGCAGCTCTGTTTCCCTCCGTTCGATTAGGTCAAAAACAACTGTGCTTCCAACCCAGTTGTGATCGTTTTTGACCATAAAATCCAACGTCATGGCTTTCCGCCGTTCCGCCTGCACCGCCTCGGGGAGGGTCGCATCAATTTTGTATCGTCCATCATCAACGACCTTTTGGTCCACGATAAACTCCACACGAACCGCCTTCGACATCTCATAAAAGCTGACATCCTTGGCATCCGCTATCTTTGGCGTCAGGTCCAATACTCGGCCACGACAATATGTCTGGTACATGCGCCTCAAGGAGCGATACATAAGCCACTGCGGAATCAGGCTCATCCCCCACACCAAGGCGGCTCCACCAAAACAGGTTACCAAAAAAATGTTTCGCCCATGCACCACCTTCGCATATTTCTCCCTCGGTATGACCACTGGCTCGTAACCAAGTCCCTCTGCACTGTTACCATCTATGATCTTCTTTTGCATTCCAAGCAAAACGTCAACAATTGACTGTCTCTTTAGAGAAATAAGGCCTAAATCTGAGAGCACAAAGTGGGCAAATAAAAAGAAAAAAAGAGGAGGGGGAAAGGGGGAAGAGGCATTGGTATCGCCACAGGCCTCATATGTACCGAAACAGACGGACGCAAGGACAATAAAGTCGTCGTCGATGACACAATCTCATCCAAATTAATACGAGACTCGCATTTCACCCCGTCCTTGAATTGTGACGATAGAATGCAAAGCCCCAGTAACACATTGTCAATGGGTCCAGCGGCAACCCATTAAACCACTCTATTCTGAAATGAGTAAGCCACAACGCTGGATCTACAGCAAGGGAACGAGACGGGCCCAGCCATTTCGATGTTCTATCAAATGTAAGAAAATCAAAGAGGACCCTGAGAGGCCGTCGGTGTTTGTGATCTAGGCGCCCCAACAAATGGTACTCACTTGCCTTCTCTCTCAGATGTCCCTCCACAGATCGAATGTCGTTAAAGAAACTAAAGCAGGGCTGCTGCTCTTGAAGTGCCCACGAGGCTTCAAGAGAGTACAGTGAACCTACGAACATGCTGATCCCCCTCCACAAGAGCAGTTGCGTGCGATTAGTGCACAAGGCGCCGCAAAGAGCGCCAACCGATGCAAAGTACAGGCCAGTAGGATTAAATGCGCTGTTCAGCGTTCGACAAAGAACAGCTCGCTCTCCAAGGTTTGGGTCATACCCATCCTTCTCAATTTGCCTGAGTAGTTCCAGGAAGGCATGCTCCTCCAATGCGGTCATCCACCTTTACTTGCTGCGTCAAGGGCGCCCCCTCCTCTCCCCCCCACCCCCCCGGCCGGCAACGACAAGAAGAAGAAAACATGAAACGAAACAAAGAAACACTCAATAAATAAAGGCAAATTATGGAAACGAGTCAACCAATAATAATAATAACAACAAAATTAGTAAAAAAAACGTTTTATTGACAGGTTTGGGCTGAGACGCTGAAACGGCGTCGCAATTACCTCTCCTCGTTTCTAATTAGTGCTATTACTCTTAAAATGGTGGTTATGTGCTCCTTTCTTACTTAGCGGTTTCCTCTACCACGTCCGTACCCGCGTCCACGTCCACGTCCACGTCCACGTCCGCCTCTGAAGTCGCTGTCGCGCACGCGCCTCTCCGAGTACTGTGCGACTTCAACCACGCTTTCTGCGATTCCCTCCACCAGATACTGAAGTCGAGAAGTGTTGCTTCGGTCAACGTGAAGGTACTTGTCTTCCCTATCCCAGAAAGCTATGAGTGAGCTGTTGCTTTCCGAGATAATGTCGTTGATGACACATTTTACCTCATTCTCGGTCAACTCGTACTTCTTCATCATCATATCCACGGAGATCGCGGCAAAATTACACCGATGATTATAACAGAAAATACGAAGGGCTGCTTCTTTTAAATGCTGCAGGAATTTGTTAAACGCTTCTTCACCATTCGGCATCTTGGACCATGCCGTCATATTTTTGATGATTTCACTGGCTTTAGCATAATCCCCCAGTTTTAGCTCAATGTAGGCGGCTGTTAGTTGCTCTCTGAATTCCACCGGTTCGCCCAATAACGGTTGGTACGCCATTTGATTGATTATCCGGTAGAAATAGCTTTGATGACGACTGCCCTCATACGGCTTTTTAGCTTCCTTTGGAGTATCCACCACAAGGGTGGAGAGCATCGTTGCAAGCTCCAACTGAGCATGCTGAATGTAAGCATGTGAAGGCACCAACAAATCGCGGTATTTTAGCTCCTTTTCTTCGCTTTCCTTCACGTAATCTGGCATCCTTTGGCTAATCAGGACGTCATGGTTTCGATTAGACCACAAAGGGCTGAGGAGGTTGTAGGCTTGAATGACATCACCCGCCGCAAAAGATGCCAAACCAAGTTGCGCAATAACCCTGTTGTACAAAATGGCAAGGTGGACAGACTTTTCTACAGTTTCCTCCACCCCAGAGCGAAGCACAAGGTCTCTTCCCTCTTGGTAATTTCCCTCCAATCCCATCTGGTATGCGAGGTTGAGAAGGGCACGACACTTAGCCTCTTCATCTCCAATAACGAGAAGTTCTTGATAAAGCTCACGGACGGTTTCGATGACTGAACTAGTGACAATATTGCGGGTCAGTCGAGTCATTTTATGATAGAGAATATCGTGGGCCTGTTGCCGTCTTGAACCAAGGATATCAATAAGAATTTGACAGCAAATCGCCTTTCCACGCCTGCGCTGCTGGTAGTAGCCAAGAACAGTGTCGGTCAGGTCCACTAGTTGATTCTCCAACTTAATTATCTCAAAGTACTCATCGGTGGCGCCTGTCTTAAACTGCGCAATGCGCAGTAAATGAATTTGCAGCTTTTGCAATAAACCACACAAGCCATCCACAATTATGGCCCGCTTGCTTGTGAGGTCGCCGGAAAAGTCTTCTTTAACTGCTACTGCAGGATTTTCAGTCATAAGTGAATAGCACCTGCTCACAGTGGTAAACGACTTCGTCCAGGTGGTAGTGGCAACGTAGGGCAAGCGTGTATCTTCTTCCAGGAGTGCGTCTGCAGCGATTCCCAGGGCGGTAATTCGAAGCGCTGTAAACCCCTTTTTCTTGCACTCTTGAGCAAGCTTCTGACACCTCGCAGCCCTTTTACCCTTTTGCACCAAGGCTTGCTTCAGCTCCTGCGCGATGTCTTCCTCGGTGAGCTCCTTTTCTTCTTCAGCCTGTCCTTCATCCCCACCGTCTTCCTCGCTTTCCTCGTCGTGTAGCCTTTCGATATCGTGCTTGTACGTTTCAGTCAATTCCTGGAGAGCCTTGATTAGCCTTTTCAGACTATGAAAGTCCTCGGGCCTTTTAAAAGTCTCTTTCTCATCCATTTTTTCTGATAAGTCAGGCGTGTTACGAAGGCATTCCAGAAACGGCCAAGGGATCGTTTTAAATTTTTCCTTATGTGCCGTGGCCTTTTGTCGCAGCTGAACGAATGCCTTTTCCGCCTCATTCCAAGACTCGTGGTCAACGTTGAAATCGAAAAGGTCACTGATGGTCTGAATTTCATTCAGCGACTTTTCATTGCGAGAAAGAACCACCTGCCTTTCATCCGCGTCCTCATCGTCAGTGACCTCAAACCACTTGGGGTCAATTTGGGCCACCTGCCTTTCCACCTGCTCATCTTGATGGATGACCTCCTCAAGGCTCTCATCACTGTCGCTGACGTCGAAAAAGTTGCTCATGTCGCAGAAAACTACTCGATTCGCAAATTGATAAACAAAAGAAGAGTGCGGAAACAGCAGCATCAACAGACAAGCAGCATACGACAAACGAAGACACAGACGTAGCCGCACACACACACACACACATAAAAAAAATCACTTGACAAAAACGACAAAACAACCAGCAATGATAGAAAACTCTTCAGTGTCTATACCCCGATGTGACGACTCTGACAACGCCAGTGCCATCCGTTAGAGCTCAAAATTTCAAGACAGCACTGACGTGTAACAAACACCCCCCCCCCTCTCTCCTCCTCCCACCCATCACCCAGTGAGCCAGAGTCCGGTCGTGTACTTCCCCCCTTTCAGCAATAGCCCTTGTTGTTTGACTACTATTTTTTTTTGTGGCTTTTGGCGCAACAGCTCCTGGGAAATTAATAAAGACTATATATAATGCATATCCTCTCATCATACTTTGCTATGCCTCAGTCTCCCTTCTGTCTCCGAAGACACGGGTGGGCCCAACAAAAGCAGCAACCGGCCAAGAAAAGCACGAACAACTTGTAGCTCAGAATCTGTTCTTTCAAGTGCAATCCAACTCTCATTTTGCATATGGTGCACTTCCCTGATCATTTCTTCAAGCTGCATGGTGCCGCGCTTTAAAGCAGCAAGACCAAAAAAAAAAAAGAACCGACAGAGCCAAAAGACAAAGGTATATTGGCCTCCATACACTCAAGCCGGTTTCAAATACAGCACGGAAACAGTTTTTCCATTGTAGTCAATGCGTCCATCAAACAGCTTCTTGATCATGGTTGAAATCCGTTGGTTTTCAAAGGAAACTACAGTGGTGCCTGGATCAATGGGCACAAGCTGCTTCACTCCTTTAACATGTTTCAAATTCAACTCCACCCAAAAAGATGAGGCACCCCGCAGGACTAGAGAGTTAGAAGGTCTATACGTCACACGGCACCCCGGTATATCCGAAACTGGAGCTGTCGTGATACTTACCTCTATTGCCTCACCAAAAAGCAGAAATCCATTTAATTTTAAATATGCATCCTGGGCAGATGCCGATTCCGTATATGACACGAGTGCTTCACCACAAGAAGCATCCAGAAGAATGTCATATACCACACCATATTCAGCAAAACACCGCAGTAGAGTCAGCCTACAAAACTCTACACCGAAATGAAAAACTAGGTTTCGCACTCGCAGTATCTCCATATATATATCTTGTTTTTTTTTTTTTGGGGGGGGGTACTGGTTGTGTGTTCAGTGAACAAGGGGCTTCTCAGGCAACACAAGCTCAAGCACAAGATCAGGTAGAGAGAAATGAAGCTCAACTTCCATAACAGAGCAGATATAAAGCTGGCAATGTCTCAAATAGTACCCAAGAACAATGCCCACACCTGGAAAACCCATGCACAGTCAAAAGAACGTCACATCCAGGAATCACAGAAACATCTCACAGAAACAACAGTAACAGTAAGAAAAAAACACACACCAAAAGAAAGGGAAAACTAGTGCAAAGATGTCCACAGGAGCGATTCAAGGTTCAACTTCCTTCCCTTCTTTGCCAAAGCTGTAACCCCTGAAGGAAGGTATAGTAGAGGACTAGCCTTTGTTACAAAGAAAACTGCGTTAAGCTGATGAAGTGCCACAGCAACATCTTCTATTGTCATCCCACTTTCCCAAGAAAGCGAATTCAGTGTAAGTGGAAGTCCTTTCTCATTAAGCGAATCTATGGATTGAAGCAGTTCTTCCCGCCAGATTCGACTAAACACCTTTTCCCCTGAGGTACTCAGTGGTCTCTCGGGTGAGCCTGGAATTCCCTCTATCCTTCCCATCTCATAGGACAACTCAATTAAAAGCGTTCCATACCCTTTATGGCGATACGGTGGCAGTACCATCACACATGAAAGTGAATTTTTACAAGCCATACTCTTTCTCCATTCCTTACTAAAATACCCGACAAAATGATAACCGTAATCATTTACCTCAAATAGTGCAATGAACGCAAAGAAATGTAGATCGTCCAATGTGGTCTTTTCCGCAAGAAAATGTTTGGCAATTCTGGCAATGCGCCGACTATAGGGAATAGAGGCAACTTTTCTTCCATCAATTTCAAACACAGCACATCGTCTCCTACGACAGCGATACACCTCGTCACCTGGGATCCAAAATCGATTTGGACATACCTCTGTATGTTCCCGCAGCTCCCGTACAGTGGATAACCACGAAAGACACGCCTCACACATGAAGATTTCAGTAAAAGCATCTGTTTTCTGAAATCCAGAAGGCACGTGCTCCGCTGCATACTCGCTAAAAAGAGTCTTAAAGTTTACACCTACCATCCTTTTTCGTTTCATTAACTCCTTTCTTTTTGAAGGAAAAGAAAAAAATCTGGACAAAGAAAAGAAGGAAAAACAACTTCAAACTTCAACAATGCTGGAAGAAAAAAACAGCATGTGATTCCCAAGCAGAATTTTATTCTAAACACACACGAGAAAAAAGGCAACAAAAAAAGTCAAAGAAAGTTTACACCACAATCATTGTAGGTTCCCAATGTCAACTCTCTTTCAAGCGCGTAAAACTTCCTAAAATCACGAAAAAACAAACAAACTACTATTACTAAAATCCCAACATCCCCCCAATTTGAAATCATTTCCTATTTTCCTAATGATGTCCTAGCTCCACGGCCCCCGGTGCTGGCCTGAGGGTTGCTGGGCCAGCCGCATAGCCCTCACCAATATCAAAGGCAAAGTCCCATGGCTTTCTGTCCTCCTTCCGCCATCCATAGTCAAGATGGCTTGGGCCACCACCAGCAATATCGTCCAGTTTAGCCCAGAAGCCATCAAGCATAATAGCACCAATGATCAAAAACGGGCCACTGACACAAAGAGCCATCCAATAATTTTGTCCCGGTTTGTGGTAAACCTCGCTCGTCCAAAATCCAACTCCCCGAAGTCCAAAATTTGGACGAGCTTTGGCCTTTGCGTTGAAGGCATTTAGGTAGGTCCGCCTACTGGTAGCCAAGGCAGCGCGAAACATCTTTCAGAGTCTCTTTGTATTTTCCTTACTTTTGTTCAATGCCTTGAATAACAACGGTAGTCTCAATAATATCCGCACATAGCAGCAATCAAATGCGATATAGAAATAGATGGAAAACGAGAAGCTCACAACAATAGAAAACAAAATTCAAAACAAGGTACTGGAATCCCAAACGAATTTAGCAACCAAAAAAAAACACACACACAC